AGTGGCCGCTGAGGGCCAGGCTGGTTGGTATCATGTCCTGCATTGCCCGGGCCTCCCCTCTTGCTGAGACCCGTCCCTTGGCCAGAGCCAAGGGTTTGCCAACCCTCCCATCTCCCCAGCTTGAGGGTTTGCCAACCCTCCCGTCTCCCCAGCATGAGGCTGCCTGGGTGAGCTCCTTGGAGGACCGCTGGATCTGGGTCCCTTGGCATGGGCCATGTCTGCTGCACCCACCTGCTGCGGCCTAAGCAGCTTACCTGCCCACACATGAAGTCTAGGCTCCCGGGCTTTTGTGCCAGCTCTGACCTCGTGTCCCCACCCCTGAGCCTGTGTAGTTTGGGTGCGTGCTGTCCTCTCTCCAACCTCCATTCAGCTTCCTCTCAGCGTCTGTGCCTTCACTTGAGGTCTCACCCTGCTGTCCCCGCTGGGCCAGATAGTCCAGTCCAGGCTCCTGCCACCACTTCCAACCCTCCCCTCCGTCGTCTGACACTGGACTGGGCGTGGCCTCCCTTCTGTGTCCCCGTGAGGGCATCCTGGGCCCTTCATGATTGTGGGCTGGGCTGGCCAGTGGTGCCCGGACTGACTCCTCCCAGCCTGCCCCCAGCTAGCGTCTGGCCTCTGCCCCTGCAAGTGAGGCCCTCTTGCCTTCAGGGAGTCAGGCCTGCACAGGCCTCTGGGCTTGGAGGACTGTGTTGCTTAAGTTGAAAGACTCAAAGTAAACCCAGTGGTGAGCGGAGTCAGCCAGATGCTGTAAATAGAGCCCTGTCCCTCACCCCCACCCCCAGCCCCTCCATGGAGGTGGGGCCCAAGGGGCTGTAGCCTTTGTGTTCACTGCCCCACTTTGAGGTCTGTGGAATTATTGCTGCCGTCTTGAATGTGTGACATTCTGGAAAGCTCAGCTTCCAGCTCCCAAGTGCAGCTGCTGCCTTGGCTACAAGACACTCATGACATTTGGGCTTTGCTGGGACCCACAGGCTACTTGTGTTCAGAAGCACAAGGACACACCATTGTAGTCCTCGCTGTGTAACGCCCGGCTGTCGTCGGGCAGGCCATGAGTAAACTGGACCAAGTGACTGACGAGCAGCCTGCTTCCTGCCCCATGTGGTTATGAACTGCCCACGAATGCTGTTGTCCACTCTGGTGTGGGTTTCAATGACCTTGGGATACGTGACTCAAGCAGAATCCTGTGGCAGATGGGAAACATGAGCAGAACTCGCATGGTGAGAAGGTGCAGGGAGGAAGGGTGCATTCCCTCCCTCACCTCTGTTCGTTTTTTATTTTCCCTCTTAAAGCATCTATAAGCCAACCCAGACAGACAGGGATGTGTGGTCTGTCCCTCCCTCCCCCCCTCTTCCCCCTTCACCCTGGCTGGAGTTTGGTGACACAGTCACCACTGCATCCTCCAGCTTTCAGGCTCAGGTGATCCTCATACCTCAGCCTCCTGAACAGCTGGGACTGCAGGTCCATGCTACCACACCTGGCTAATTTTAAAACAATATTTTTTGGTAGAGTCTTACTATGTTACCCAGACTGGTCTTGAACTGGTTTTGAGCGGCACTCCCACCTCAGCCTCCCAAAGCATTGGGATTACAGACATGAGCCACCTCACCTGGCCTTTTTTTGTGACTTTAGCAAAGAAAATGGAGTCTCAGAGTTGCTGTAACTTCTGTTTCTTTCTTCACCAGCAAGAGATCGTGTGCTGTGCTTTTGTGTCTTCATTCCATGTGAATTCTGCTTCTCTTTTCCTAGATTATTCCAGAGTTATTTACTGATGCTTTTTGGAAGGTGTGCATACTCAGAGATCTGAACCCTTTGTTTTATTTGTAGATGAGACTCCCTGTCATCTGCAGGACATAGTTCCTTTTTTTTTTTTTTTTTTTTTTTTTGAGTTGGCATTTCACTCTTACCAGGCTGGAGTACAGTGGCACACTCACAGAAGCCTCTTGGCTGCAGCCTTAACTTGTGGGATCAGACAATTCTGCCCCAGTCTTCCAAGTAGCTGGAATCACAGGTGTGCACCACCATGCCCAGCTAATTTTCTGATTTACTGTAGAGATGAGGTCATACCACGTTGCCCAGGCCAGTCTCTGCCTTCTCAAAGTGCTGGGATTACAGGCGTAAGCCACCACACCCAGCTGGGGCATGGTGCCTTCTAATGGGCTGAGCAGTGGGCTCTCCACATGTCTGCCTGTGTCCTTTCCCTCGGAGACTTGATGGCTGTCAGGCTGGTGGGTTTTCCTGGGGTGTGTTCTGGTCAGTGTCTGGGTTCATTCAGGCTCCTCAGGGCTCTGTCCTTGTAACTTCTCTTCCAGCTTGTGCCTGTCCCTGGGGAGTCCTTTCACTCTTTTATCCGACTGACCAGGATGTACAGGGACAAGATGTGAGCCTCAAAAGGTGCAGTGGGGTCCCCTGTAGGACACCTGCCTCCAGCTTCGACACCTGCTCCCCTTAGCTGGAGGCAGCCTGGGCTTTGTGTCACCTGGTCGCTATAAATAAGCAAGCACAGGTATGAATAGTTGTGCGGGGTGTTGCTTCTGCCCCCTCATCTGACACAGCCAAGAGGCTTCTGTCTGCAACGTGAAGGCATCCTTGTTCCTGGGTATGGGTGGCTCTGTATCACACTGGTCCCTGTTGGTGGATCTTTGGGTTGTTCCGAGCTGTTCTGTGGGAATACCTGTGTTCCTCTATCATTTTGCACACATGCGTGTGTCTTCAGGAGATGTGGCTAGATGGGGATGTGCTGGGGGTGTGTGCATGTGTGTGACATGTGCTGCCCGTGGCCCCTCCTCCCTAGAGGTTCCCTATAGCCCCTCTTCACCAATGAGTCCCAGACCCATCTCCAGTGCAGATCCCCTTCTGATCTCTAGACTCCGCCAAAGTGCCTTGGGGATCACCTGCCCTGATGGAGCACTCCCCCTGGGATCCTTGCTCCAGTGAGTAGTTCCACCTACCCAGCCTCACAGACCAGAGTGCTGCTCTGTCCCAATCCCATCCCCCCACATGCCATCACACCTGTCCCCATGGCCTCAGCCTCAGCCTCAACTCAAGCTGAATCCTCTCCCACCTGGACCATCAGCCCAACCTCCCTGGCCTCAGCCTCCAGCATCCCCCTCACCTAGTCCATCCCTCTTGCACAAGGCTCCCTGATGCCTGAGCTGACCCCACTGCTCCTCTGCTCATAGCATTCCTGTGGCTTCCACCTACCTTTTCCCTAGACAAAACCTCAGCCCCTCCTGCCATGGACCCTCCTCTGTTTCCACCTGACTCTAGCTCAGCCCTCATTCCCTGATTCCTGGACAGTCTCCCCAGCTTCCTGGCTTCTGGTCTAAGGTGTGAGAGCACCTGGCAAGGTAAATACTCAGTGAATGGGTTGCCCTCCCCCATTTCCTGTCTCATCCCTTCTTTGCCACATAAAATGTTGCCTACTCCCTGGTATTGGGAAAGCTCCCTTTTTCTGACCTCAGGTTTCATGTTGGCATTTAGGAGTTCTTAGTATCTTGTTGTATGGCATGCAATCTTGTAAAATGTAAAAGACTACATTTAGAATTTTGCAAAACTCTTTACTACCCCAGATTGTGGCTTCTGGAAACAATCAACAGGTGTCCTTTCATCTATCAGAGAGATGCCCTGGTAAGGAGCAGGAGCTGGTTATTGGGCCTCTTTGCTATCCATCCAGCCTCCTCTGATTGTGCCCACTTTCCATTTAGCCAGGTCTGATGGTGTTGTTACAAAGGAAACCAGCATGATTTGACCCAGTCCTTGGAAATCCAGTCCCCAGAGAAGCTTGTGTAAGCCAAATCCCATCTTTCTTTGTCTTATAACATAGTCTTGGGTGCATTGCCATGGGAATGCAGGAGAGAGTCACCCACAGAATGACTAGAAAACAAGTTCAGGGGCTTAGTTGGTGTACTAACAGGTTTCTGGATATGATGTGTATATATTGATTAGGAATAAAATGCTCAGTTTTACAGAATTGCAAATTCTCCCTCTCCCTCCTTCCAAGAGTTCCTTTCCCTCCCCCAGGCATTCTAGTCACTGTTCCTTTTGAGACCATTCTCAGTGTCTCGTATAGCTGGGTTGCAGTTCCATTCTTGGCCAATAGGTGGTAACAGGACTGCACAGTCAGCCCTCCATGGAGAGAATGTCCTACAGGGGGTGCTGTTGGTCCTTAGAGAAGGTCGGGGTTCCCACGATGCCTCTCTCCCAGTGGTCGCTGGTCTTCTGAAACACAGCACTGATGTTCTTGTGAAATGGAAGTCAAAAGCATCCTCCCAGTGCTGAGGCGCTCCATGCTGCTTGAGAAAGAGAAAATGGTGGCAGGTGGGGAGGAGGATGGAGCAGAGCAGGGGTCCTCAAACTTTTAAAACGGGGCCAGTTTACTGTCCCTCAGACCGTTGGGGGGGCAGGCTGTAGTTTTTAAAAAAAAGGAATTTGTTCATAGTTTTTTTTTTAACTATAGTCTGCCCCTCCAACGGTCTGAGGGACAGTGAACTGGCCCCTTGTTTTAAAAGTTTGAGGACCTCTGGAGCAGAGAGTCAGTCCTCATCCCTGTACCAAGCCAGACAGGAGTCCAGGAGCCCATTCCTTAAGGGGCCCACCCTGGCCTGGCACTCCCACTTACGTGCTGTGTGTCTTTAGGCAAGTCTCTTCCTGTCTCTGAGCTTGTTCCTGTTTCCTCTGGGGTGGGCCTGATTCCTCCAAGCAGTGTCCAGGGTCCAGGACAGACAGAAAAAGAGAGAGAATGGGTGTCACAGAGATTCTTCCACTCTTGGGCCCCTGGCTTGGTGGCCCCGCTTGGGGCTGGCCAGCCTCTTGCCACAGAGCCTGTGTGGGCCTTTGGGTGGACTGCTGCCTCCTGGTCAGGACCTCAGAGCAGCAAGGGCAGGAGAGGGAGGCAAAGAGCCAGAGAGGAGCCCACAGGATGGGGGTACAGGGTGC